AAGTATGGCCATGGCTAGATAAATTGGCTGGTAAAAGTACTGTGGTTCAAATGTGGACTAGAATGGTAAAATGCAAATCTGTCTTCCACATTATTATCAATTTCTTAGGGTAACTTAAAAATTAAAAAGAAAAACATGCATTTGCTGTGTATCAATTAACCACACTGATGCAATTTATTTTAAAAACAAAGTCCACCACATCAGGCCTGATTTGGAGTTCTTCTATACTTTGTACACAGCCAGAGTGTTCATTGCCAGTGAATTCAGGATACCACACTGCAACATCACAGGGATACTGCTGGGAGGAAAACATGGTCCAGAAAATGCAAAGATACTGTTTTATAGAGAAAACTGTACATGAAAGACACTTCTTCTGAGGATTCAACTTTAAAAAGCCTGGTAGCTTCATTTGACTATGAATGTAGCAGCCCACTTTCATCAGGCTATAAATTTACATAATAGGATGTGATTATTATTGATTTGATGGTGATTAGTCTCAAATTTATGCTGTTGAGGAACTGACCCAATATCCTTTGAATTCCATTTAACCAAGATCAATGACAAATGGATCAGGCCCCAGAGGTACAGAGAAGTGCTGGAGAAATGAAGGGGCATTATGCTTTATTGGTTTTCTCCCTACTGTAGAGGTACAATCTATAAACAAGGAAATCCTGTGCCTTACAATCCTTTCCTCCTTCTCTTCTTTTTTTCAGATCATTTACTCATCTCCCTGTAAAAGTAATCCCATCACATGCCTTTGAAGGACTTAGAGATGCCTTCATCATGTAAGTTGTCAATATTTCCCATAGACTTTTCCTTAATTTCTTGCTAGAAATTGTATCATAAACCTCCATCCCAAACAACATCCTTCTATAATAATGTGAAAATGTGTGGCTAAAACGCACTCCTGATGAAAAAAACCCAGAACCACTGGGGAAGGATAAACATAGCATTTCTTTTCTTATAAGCAGAAAAGGTGTGATTTTTAACAGTTGTTTAACAGATCACATAATGGAATTTTAATCATGTCAGAGAGAACTGGAAACAGCTTAATAACTGATGAGAGGAGCTTTCAGTTAGCAGAGGAGATAGATTTCTATCATCAGACATTACCACTGCAATGATAGCTATGGCATTCTATGATTATACATTTACATAATACCCAAATAAGACATTTCTTCAGCATTTTGCAGTGAAAGATAAACTTGGCAGGGGATCAGTAGGACTGAATCCTTTCTTTGATCTTTCAGTTTGCAAGTGCTGTAATTTTTCACACCAGGTCTGTGCTGCTTCCCGACCCTTGGCTTTGTACCTATTTTATATCAAGGCCTCGGACCATAAGGCTTATCTTACCCCTCTTGCCCTCATTTCTGTTGGTATTCCAGCTGAAAGATGGCATGCTTGTGTCTCCATTAATTATTATTTTTCTTTTATCTGCACTGAGTGGCCTCTAAAAAACAAAGTTGATGACACACCAGTGCAATGAAGAACAGGGGAATGAACCCCCCCAAAACCTAAGCAGCAGCACAAATGATGCCACTTTTCATTTCAAGGTGCACTTCTTGGACTTCTCATCATCTATGAAAGGTACATAGTGCATCAGATATTAAAATATATATTAGATGTTACATAATTTATTTTCAAGGAAACGAGAAAGTAGGAAACCCTCTCACAGCATTCCTGAAGGCAAAGTCTTGAAGGATGAATGTAAAGCAAATGCCTGAATAGACTCAACTGGACTAGTTTAGCTTTTAGTGCTCATTGGTTAAACAATTTTGGCCAAATTAGAAACTCAGGTGTTTCTGTAGCTCTAGCAAGTAGAAAATAAGCTAAACTCTGCTGCACGTATTGCACTGCAATACAGCATTGTAGTAGAATTCAGTGATGGTGAATTCTTGCATTCACTTACATATGAACAATTAATGAGAACTTAAACATTTTCACAGGGGAAACCAACTCAAATCTACAAAACCTACCTGTATGACTTGCAACTAAACTTTCCCAAACTGTATGCATGTCCTGTTCTCCACTGAGAATGGTTTGTTCATTGACATCCTCATAAAGAGCATTTACATGATTTATTTGTGTCCTTTTAATGAATCTCTCCAAATTAACAGCATAGAAATCAATGCATTTTTCTGAAGTAAATCTATAAAACACTTCATAGTTATATTGAGATTTAGTGTTACTTTGAAAAAATGCATATTTTTAAATTATAAACATCTACATCATCTATCTGGCAACACATCACCCTCTGCAAATCAGATGATAAATTATTCTCACTGCTACAAGTCATTGCAACATATGTAAATGGAAAACCAGTGTCAGACAGGAGGGATCACACAGAAGAACCACATTTCAGATGCCAAACCTGAGTCTTCAAGTTCTGCAAGCAGGCACTGATCCCTCCCAGCCTGTGAGACTCTGATGATACCAGCAGGTCACTTATTCTACATCCGTCTTTCATTTATAAGTAACTAGTGCAACAACAAAAATAACATTCTCACTGAATTCTGATACTGGAAAAAATCATGAATATTTCTGTAAGAAACACGGGCATTTTTACTACATGATTTCTAGTGTGCACCCCCCTTTGCCACTACAAATGAAATACAGAATTCATACTGATCTAAGGAGTTTTATATATATCAACACCAAAAGTAGTTGTCTTCTCATAATTGTAATTTAAATAAACTTACTCTCAGGACTGTGACAATACTGATTCTGATTAGGAAGATGCATTCCGCTTGTTTGGAAAATATTTTTTCTTGACACTGTATAATCTTAGGTTTAGTTCATGTGCTCTTCTAGCCAATTCTGTTGAGAAAAACACTGTTTTGAAGATCTTTCCCCTACATATGCATCAATATATACTATTTGCTTTCAGGACTCAATTTTGCATAGCCCCATAAATCTTAATCTAACAGGCATTGAACAAGCATCTAATAAGTGGGGGGTTTTTTTCTCTATGTTCAGTATTTGTTATTCTTGATTGCACATGTGGATTAGGAACATCTGTACATCAAAATCCAAGAGTGCCTACAAAAACAGTCATGTTGGTTGGCATAATGATGACAAAGAGCCACTTCCTTTCAGTTTGCATGCATGTAATGAAAATTGCATTTAAACCCAAAAATTATTCACAAAGTGTGCTGAATCTGTATTTGTGCATTTCTACATCTGTGGATTAGATGACCGTAATTCTGATTTGATAACAGCATAGGAAGAACCATGAACATTATCTATATCCTTGCCCATGCAAATAAATTCACTAAGCAGGACCAATGTTAGGAGCAAAAGTCTCACAGCCTTGGGCTCACTCTCTTGACATTAGTTCTGGCCCTTAGTCTCTACCTTACCTACAACTTAGAAAATGGAGATCAGCTGTTCCAGAGATACTTATTCCAAAGGGTTGGCATTCCCTTTTGCCAAGGCAGTAAAAGGTTGGTCTCTCTCAAACCCCACTGGCACAGGCTCTCAAGATGTCTGAGGCAAAGCACGGACACTGCAGCTAAACAAGACTGGTAGGAGGGGTTGAACAACTGTGTACAGAAGAAGGAAATACAAAGTGGAAAGCCTGTTGCTGGTGTCTTTTCTGTTAATGCATTGCTTTGTGTCTGCTGTTTTCATTGTAGTGAAATCTCTCAGAGCGACTCCCTGGAAATAATAGAAGCAAGTGCATTTGACAGCCTTCCCACCTTGTCTGAAATGTAAGCATCCGTTAAAAAAAGACATCCATGTCATGATTTAGGGTCATCAAGGAGCAAACAGTCTGCAGAGAAGTATTCTAGGACCAAATCTGTCTCTCTTACTTTAGTTGGCTTTGGTTGAGATCTATGATGAGAAACATTTCTCTCCAAAATACCATATTAAATAGTGAGTACTCTGTAAGGTCTGGCCTTGGAAATCTAACTCATGCAAAGACATCCCTGCACACAAAGTCCCACTGCTTTCAGTGAGCTCAATAGCAGGAGTGGAGCTCTGTGTCTGCTTCTGCTGGCATTGTCAAGCTTTGTAAGCAGGGAAATAATTCGAGATGACAACAGACGAGAAAAATCTTTCTTTTTGAAGATGCAGTTTTCAAAGCCCTACAGTATTTAAATACAGCTGTTTAGTATGCATAGCTCTTCTTTTGAGCACTAAAATATTACTCAAACAGAACATGTACTGATTTTAAACTTGACCTGCATAGTACAGGCATCTGAGAGAGAGAGATAAAAGCAATGACTAGGAGAATGCTCTGAAATATTTAGTGAAATTGGAAACTATAAATCTGATTCAATATCTCATTACTGCCTTTTCCACACAGCATGACTAGTGAGTAGCTTAAAACTGTGCAACTGAGGACAAATCCATCTCTTTTTTTAACCTTATGTGTGAGCATTACTGAAGCCAGTTACTCACATAAGCAAGAGATACAGATTTGTCCATCTCTGATTGAGTCAAACTTCCAC